TATTTGGGCCATCATCTGCTGCCTCCCAGGGTGTGTATTAGCAAGAAGCCGTACTGAAGCAGAGTTGCCGAGACTGGAAAAAGGCACTCTGGTATCTGATGGGGGTATCTCAAACTGCAATTTAACCACTCTGCCTATCCAGAAATTACTTTTGTTGTTCCTTTTTAAAATCTTTTTGGTAAATGAAACAAAGTATTCTATGTAGTTACAAACATTTTAGAGTTGCCATTTGATAAAACAATCTCCAAAGCTACTCCTTAATTTATCATTTAGTGCAAGTTTTATATGATCAAATGAATGTTCTTACATTTTACCATTATAACATTCAGCAGAACATGACGCAGACCACTGGTAGATAGCTTTTTGCATGTCCATTTCTTTAGTCTTGAGTAATTTAATGCTTATTATTTTGTAGAGTAGGGGTGGCAGGAAAGTTCCTATTTCATTCAAGCCAGGGCCTCTGGCAATCTAAGGACCTGTGACTGAGCCTGTTGCCTGCCCAATGACTGTTCTTGCTTTTTCTCTTTAGTAACACAACACTGAGCAATGTGCCCAGCTGGAAAAGTCCGTTTCCCAGTTTCCCTTGCAGATGGAGGCTCATGCAAAATAAGCATTATTCTGCGTGTGGTACTTTCAGAAAAATCACCTCTCTCTCACACTGTCATTTTTTCCTGCTTCAAATGCTTGCATGATGACTGGCACCCCAGCCACCATGCTGTGACTTTATAGAAGTCACACACTTAAGATGGTGAAGCGGTACCCCTTCTGACTTTGTGTAACAGGCACAACTGAGCCTGACAGTGTACTGCTGTACTGGTTTTGCAGATGAAAAACTGTTTCATGAAGGCCACCATCATTTCAGTGTCTTTGTTTCTGCAATATCATAAACATTAAAATTCTATATTTCTGCTGGACAATTGCTGCTGCTGTTGCTTCTTTTTTTTTTTTTTGACAGGCAGAGTGGACAGTGAGAGAGAGAGACAGAGAGAGAAAGGTCTTCCTTTGCCGCTGGTTCACCCTCCAATGGCCGCCGCTGCAGCCGGCGCACCGCGCTGATCCTGGCAGGAGCCAGGAGCCAGGTGCTTTTCCTGGTCTCCCATGGGGTGCAGGGCCCAAGCACCTGGGCCATCCTCCACTGCACTCCCTGGCCATAGCAGAGAGCTGGCCTGGAAGAGGGGCAACCGGGACAGAATCCGGCGCCCCAACCAGGACTAGAACCCGGTGTGCCGGCGCCGCAAGGTGGAGGATTAGCCTATTGAGCCACGGCGCCGGCTTGTTGCTTCTTTTAACCCACCTCTGTCTTGCCCTATACTCATGACAGCTAAATGCTACAGTGTGACATTTGTGGCTTCAATTCCTACTATTTTCTCTTGCACTGTTCCTTTAATCTTGCAGACTCTCTCCTGCCTTGGACCTTTGATTTGGCTGTGCCCTCTGCTGGGGACATCTTAGCCCCACATCCCCAGGTGGCTTAATCCCCTCACCTCTTTCATGTCAACTTGTCAATGAAGGCTGACCTAAACAACCAGCTCAGAATTACCATCCAACTACCAATCATACACATCTATTTTCTCTTTATTTTCCCCACAGCACTTACCACAATAACAAATTATAAAAGTGGTTTTATTTTTTCTGCTTGCTTTGTCTCCTGCATCACTAGAATGTAAGCAGGCTCCTCCTGTCCTGGTCACTAACACAGCCCAAGAACTAGGAACATAACTTGTAGGAGTTCAGTTAGAATTTCTCTCATTCTTCCTATTTTCATTGTGTCATTCTAACACAAATCCTAATCTTTTTATTGTAAGAATTACCAGTGGAGTTGTTCGAGGGTACCTCTCCCCCAGAAGCATGCAACATACTTCCAGACTTATCTAAGATGCATCTTTTGGGATGGCACTCCTTTAAATGATTTGGCTCCCAGCTGACCCTGTCAGATATTATACACTGGTGTCATTCTCAAATGAGAAATTAGATTACATGAACTCTGAGATGCTGCACCAATATTCCATTCTGCATCCAAATGACTCATCCTGGCATTAACAATGCTCTGTGATCTAACAGCACTCTATCTAAACTTAAATCTTATTCCTTCCACATTTCCCTCTGCTCTGGCTAATTTCATTAAGAACTCTGAAACAAGCCATGTTCACTGTCACCATTTTTTCATATTTTTACCCTCCACCTTCAACACTCTTCTGGCTGCTGAATCAATGAATTCTTCAGAATCTTGCTGCTCAAACTGGGATGCAGGGGCCAGCATCGTCTATCACCCATCACTACCTGCGAAATGGTCAGACGTGGAACAACTCCAGGCCTATCCCAGACATCCTGAATCAGAAACTCAGAATTTGCGCTTAACAAGAGATTGGTGTGTGCCTTAGAGTTTGAGAAGCAGTGCATAAGAAACTCAATCATACAGCACTCGCTCGTGCTCACAAATAAACGTGCACTGAATTCTTGATCTTTCGTAGGATGCATGCCCACCCATAAGCAAGCATGATGTTCAGTTAACAAAAAACACCCCCTCTTAGGCTATTTATTTCTTATTTCATCTAAGTCCTTTCTGCCCAATGTGCTTGTAAACAACTGACAGGCAGGATAGTCCCTGTGTTTGGCCAATCTGAAAGTAGGGAACAGAAGCCCATTCAAGTCACTTCAAGGGAAACAAACAAAACAGCTTATTTTAACACTACTTGGGAACTGGGAGCAGAGAACTCAAGAGGGAGGGCTCCAAGGTCTGGCCACGCTTCCCCATCGTCTGTGTACCCCTCCATTCCATTCTTTCCCGTCTGTTCAGTTTCTGTTTCCTTCTATCAGCAGCATTTGCATGAACTATTATTATCATCCATTCTCTTCTCTACCAGCCAATTCACTTCTTCCTCTTTCTGCTTCGATTTTCACTCTAAGTCTCTAACCTTAATACTCTCAGGAGAGATATGCCCAGCACAGAAAATCTTTGTAGCCAAACCACAAGATTACAAGTGTCTGAGTCACTTATGCACCAGCTGCCTCTGGGTGAGGAGCTTATGCAGTTTCAATCAGCTGAGGCCAAGGGGGCTGCAGCTCCAAACAAGGCCCTAGGCCGCAGAAGCTGTCAGAGGAGCATATTTCTAGAGAAAGAAAGGTGTGGGAGGACAGGCAATGAGGCACATGGCCATCTCACAGGGTTATTATTTTGTCTTTACCACAGTCTCAAATGTTGAGCACCTAATAAACTGAAATCAACCAATATGAGAGGGAAAAGTCATTTGCCAAGCAGCAATATGATCCTGGAAGCCCAGGGAATACAAAGATTAAATAAGAAGCAGTCTCTGTTTTCGCAGTGCTCTTTGTCCAAATGTATCACTTCACTAGGTGCTCGACCTTGGGCAAGCTACTAAACCATTCAGGGTCACAGCTACCTCAACTCTCAGATGGTACTCCACCTGAAGCAACATCCAGCAGTGTGGTAAGATTCTATAAGGTCATCTTTGCGGGAGTGCTTAAAAAAATGCAAACACCCAGCAAAAACAACATTGCAGCCTTTCAACTTTAAAATCTCATGTGCCACAGGTTTTGCGTTGCTTTTAGAATGTTTCTCTTGCTCCAGCTTCCAACAGTGTATGACCCACTAATCATTATTTAAAACACCAACTACAACCATTATATTTTCAATGACATCAACTTTTATCATTACATTTTCTTTACTCTGATGATTCAAAAGGTGATTAGCCGAATTCATTCATTTCACTCAGAAGTGTAAAAAAAGAAAACTTTCGTGTGTGCATTTTTAATATTACCCACTCAACTACAGATCTAAAACTGTAATATCCTTTATAAATATTTTGCAGAGATTACAAATGACAGTATTTCTCTGTAGGACACAGGTCAGTTTTGACTCAGTGTGACCTTTTCCCTAGAGTTGCATTTCCTATTCTCTAAATGTTAGATCAGAGAATTCTAGATATTAGCACACTGGACCCCAGTTCTCCATGGGGACCTTGAGGAAAGATAATAAAATGGTCTGTCTCAAAACCGAGAACCCCATTCACCTGGCTCCTGTATCCTTTTCCTAAAACCACTTTATCACCTGCTTCTCACTGAAAGGTGGGGGTGGGAAGAAGTGATGATGGTGAGGTGGACTAATTCTTAAACACCTGCTACTCCAACTTCTTGCAGAATTCAAGCACAGGTTTCAGGGAGAGAAAAGGGAAAACAAAACTGGAAATACATGTAGCCTTGACTTTGCCCAGAGCACAATCGAATCATATTTGCGGAGTTGTCTGCCTCGTGCCAGGTAGGCCAGGACGACGGGCACCACTAGCCCACGCCCTCGGGCACCCGGTGCTCGGTGCCTAGAAGCATAGCCGTTCAACAGCTGGTCCTGGGATCCAAAACACAAGCTTCCACCTGGCCAAAAAGTGCTCAGCTGCAACAAAGTGCAGGTTTCATGCTAAAGCCAAAACATAAAGGAAACCTCAACTGGGTGCGACTTCTCCGTAGGAGGTAGAACTGCAGAGACACCGTAACGCACGGTCCTCACCGAGTACCCCCACCCCAGCCAAAGCTCCCCACGCTCTGAGAAGCGCAGGACCCCGCAGCTGCGATAGGCAAGCTGGCTTCCCCCGGGGGGCTTCCATGGGGGGGGGGGCGGCGGGCTGGGATCTGATCACCAGGATGGGAAGCTGAGTGGAGACCCCGAGGTCTGCCCGTCAGTGGACAAGGGGGTGGACAGGGCGAGGGCGCTCGGTGATGGGCACCGAGCAGTCAGCAGGCTGCTGGTACAAGAAAGCTTTGGGGTTCCCGCCCACGACTCCAATTTGGGACCTCGGGAACCCCGAAAACGGGCAGCGAGTGCATCAGAGGCGGGTCTGCGGGGGACCGGGCACGCAGTCAGACTGCCTGGAGGAGGCGGTGGGACGGGCGTGCTCTCCGACACACACTCACACAGACACACGCAGCCGCACGCTCGACCTAGGCTGGCCCCGAATCGGCCCCGGGCGGCGGCGGCGGCCACTCACCCTCAGCGCGAGAGCGGATCTCCGACACCGTCCTTCGCATGGTGGGCATCGCCGCGGCGGCGGCCGCAGGTGGCTCCTTAGCCGCGACTCTGCACCTGTCGCGGCGCCACGCGCGGGCGTTCAGCCGCCACCGGGGCCCGGCCGCCTACCCAGGGCAGCGACCCTCGCGCGCAGCCCCTGCCCGCGGACGCGAGGGGGAGGAAGAGGCGGCGGAGGCGAGGGTGGCGGCTCCCGCAGAGCTGGGCGAGCTCGCTCCCTGCAGCCGCGGTGGGGGCGGCTCGGCGAGGGGCGGAGCTCGGGCGCTCGCGCCGGGGGCGGGGCTTCGGGGCGCGCGCTTACTCGCTCCCGCGGCCCCGGGGCGAGGAGTGCGGGAGAGGCCTCCTCGGCCCCGCCCCACTCTGGACCGTACCACTTCTGGGGAGGGGGGGAGATCTGCCACAGCCTCTTCAGCTGGTCGGCAGCCTCGCTCCGCCCCGCGGCTCCTGCCTCACCGGTTCTCTTCCCAAGTCCAGTCTGACTCTCCCAAGTCTTGACCTGCCGCCCTGGGCTGCGGCGTCCTCACGTTTCGTCTCCCGCTCCCCTCCGGCGTTTAATAGCAATGGAGCCGCCTGTCGTGTAGAAAGAAGTGTGGGAGGTGGGTGGCAGGCGAAGGGGAAAGGGTTTTGGGACCTCAAGGGTCTGGGTCCTGCCGCCGCAGAGAGCGGGACGGCGTGCTCGGCGCGCAGTTCTAGCTTCTGCGCACGCCCGGCCGGACTGGTGACCAGAGCCGCACTGGCCCCCTGCTTGTCCGCTAGCAACAGGCTGAGCGGCCGGGACCGTCCGGGAGCGGGCGCTCCACCTGCCCCTGGGGCCTGGGGCCGGCCTGTGAGCGGGACCAGTGCATCCTAGCAGTTCGTGTTTTGCGGGCTGGTAAAGCCCTGAAATGGCAGTAAGATCAGCTACTGGCCCAGCGGGTCAAAAAAAAAAATGCCTTTTTTGTTGTTTGGGGTTTTTGTTTTTAGACAAAGCTGCAGAAAGTTCCGCTCAGTATTATCTGAAATGGGCCTAGGGGTTCTTAGCGTAAAATCTAGAAATATATTGAACTTTAATATGCCCCAGGTCCTAGAGACCCTCCTTAGCTCATGGCATTTTATTTTGTGTACTGAGGTCTATGCTACTAAGTTATCAGAACAAGCACAGACAGCAGTTTTTGTTTATTGCTGATTTGCCCATCACGTGCAGATAAAAGGTTTTGTGTAGATTCTGATGGGCCCTTGAACTGGCGAGAGACGAATAAATTAGGAGCAATTCGCTGCCTCTCCCTCCGTGTGCGCATCCTCTGGCAAAGCCCTTACATGGAGGCCTTTTATTTGAGCTCCTTGCTTGTGCTGAGAGGTTTGACTAGAGAAGTGATTGTTCTCCACCCTCATGAAAAACAAACAAAAAAATGAAACAAAATCTGCTCACGGCAGGTTATCTCCATTTGTGGTGTTTCCTCTGCGCCCCGGAGGTAGCACTTGCTAATCAGAACCCTGCCCAGCCTCACTGCTCAGCCAGATCAGTGCATATTCATGAAGAGTTCACTCTCTTGGGCCCTGATTCAGAGGCTGAAGACAAAGCAGATGGAGTCCCAGTGTTCTTGGAACATCTCGGGTCGTGTCTGTCTCGGTGATGGTCGTGATTTTCGCGGATGGTCTTCTAAAAGTGAAAAATGGACACGGACTTTTCAGCTCTGTCATCACCGCTGTTTTGATTTCTGACAAGTGCCAGGATTTTCTTGTGTAGACTTCCTCTGGCTTGATGACCATGGGTCTGAAACAAATTAAAGGGCTAAGTTCAGCAAGGGGGAAAATCCATCTCCTTAAAGTGAGCAGAAACTGGAGTACAGTGCTTTCCTAATTAATGTATAAGCTATTATTTTATATAACACCAGAGCTGGCTTTTACTCAAAATCAGTGCATGACAGCATGACAGTATTTGATTGGTGAAGTTTCACCTTTGATTCCTGATGAGTCCTAGATTGGAGGTCAGTTTTCTACTTATGAAGAATAAAGGTGATCCTGAGTGCTTTTAGGAACCTGTCAACAAAATTGATAACACATGTGACTCATACAGGAAATGCCATTCATACAGAGATATGATGCAGTCTATAGCTTGCGGCTTGTCCTTTCCCACATTATATGATCACTTTTTCCATCATGGCAGGACTACCCCCAATGACTTCATTTCTGAGAAACCATTCATTCCTAATTGCTAGAAATCACGGGTTTTTATTGCCTCAGGAACTTTATTGCCCAGTAAGTACTGCGTTGATCTGCATCCGCTTAATTTCGAAGCTCTCAGATCTTTTCACCTTCCATTGTTTGAGAGGCTCAGTGTGCCAGTCCCTGGCCGGGAACTCTGGCTCCAGCAACATGACCTTGTCACAGAATCTGTAGTGTAATTCAGATGTCAGCAAGATTGTTTCAAAACCTTCAGGTCCTGTGCCTACTGATGGACTTAGAAGGAAGGGGGTTATTCGAGGACAGCTTCTCAAGGAAGAGGGTTATTCAAAGAGTTTTTGCAATGACTGGGTCTTATGATCCTCCATAAAATATACACAGAATGCACGGCATGTGTGAGGTGCTGAGCCGGAGTGCTGGGTGAGGAAGGTACTTCATGGAAGCCTAGCAGCAGTGCAACAAGATGGCGCCCACTTCATACCAAGTGGACAACAGCAGCAACTACAAACTGAGAGCCGGCAGCTCTTCCTAGAGCTGGATCCTGGAGTGGCAGTTAAGCCCATTGAAACGAGAGCTCTCTTTCCAGGTAAGGAGACCTACCACGGAGGAAATACTCAATAATGCTAAGGAATATTTAAGGTCCTTGGAGTACTCAATAATGTTAGTTAAGGAATATTTAAGGTACTTGGAGTGATGGAAGAACATATGTGTGTGTGTTTGGGGGAAAGGAAGAGATCTATTTGGTTACAGTAAAGATTCTCACAGGAATCCATGGGTGGACTCTAAAGGTGCCAGCTCTGGGAGGATCTCTGCATGCTAAAGTCCTCCCCCTCCATTTATTTCCTTTTTTTCTTATGAGGTGGCTAAATGAATGGTGTCAAAAGTCTCGATAGGCCCACTTTTAAGCACTTTTATATATCTTCCCTTGAATTTCCCCATAAAATTTTTTCAACTTTACCAATAAAATCATATAATGAATATTACATGGCAAATGTTTGCCACATTCTCTTAACTGTATCACGTAGGAATTAATGGAAAAGTGTGTTCTTGGCTTTCCTTTTGAATTAGGATAGCTTGTGTTGTTGAGTAATTTGGGAAAATAAAAGCATGTGTAAACACATGCACTCTGTTCTGTTGCTGTATAAGATGTAGACATCAATAGAACTTGATGGAGCCAAGGACCCAAGTTCAGACTTCACATAAGTCAGAGTGAGCATCAGATACCCAGAGTAAGATGCATGACAATTGCTGTGGTCTGTTTAAGGAAAAGAGTGCAGATTGGTGCCTTCTCACACAGGGCAACAAAATCCAAGGAGAATGCAGAAAAGGGAAAGGAGACAATACAAACTCGCAGCCAGACCAAATTTATTCAGAGAAAATAAACCTGCAGAGGTCAACTAACTGCCAGCATGTACATAGACCTAATACATGCCAGAGGCCCAGACCCCAGCAGGCTGGGCCTTTTTATATCCTAGATGGGCTAGGGATGGGATGGGGGGCAGTAGGCAGAGATGAGCTCCACCATACTGGTTCAAATTTGGCCCACTGGCTTCCAAACCTGGGGAAGAATGTAGGGGATGGGGTGGGAATAATACAGGGCGTGAGCTGGAACTGGTCTCCTGAAAGAAGGCACGGGTAACAAGAACCTGAAATGGCTGAGGCTTATGTCCTTGTTCCATCAGACCGAGTGGTTCCCCAACATTCTCGTGTTGGAAACTTAATCTCCAGTGCAACAGTGTTAGGAGTTGGGGCCTAATAAGAGGTCATCAGGTCACCTTATGAACAGATTAAGGTTGCAACTAGATTAATGACATTTTTTTTTTGTAGAGTTGGGCTTCTTATAAAAGCAAATTTAGACCCCTCTTTCCCTCTTACTATCTCCTGTCCTGTCTTTCCATGTGATATCCTCCATCATTAAGACTCAGCAAGAAGTCCCTCAGCAGACGCTGGAACCTTGACATTGGCCTCTAGATTATAAGAAATCAGTCTGTTCTTTGTACAGTACATAGTCTCAGGTATTGGGTTATGGCAGTGGAAAATGGACTAAGACTATAGTTGAAATTACAATGAAAGAAATAAAAAAAGGACCCAGAGGAAGTCACTGCTAGGGCCCAAGCAAATAAGAAATCCAGTTTTCATGCCAAGTCAACTAGGCGGGAGAATGAATAATCTTCCAACACATGATGCTAAAACTCCTACATATCCACATGCCAAAGAATGTAATTGGACCCCTACCTCACACTATCTATAAAAATTAATTCAAAGCAGTTCAAAGATGCAAATATAAAAGATAACTAAAACTTTTAGGAGAAAAATAGAAGTAAATCTTTGTGGATGTTAATGATGGTTCTTACATAAGACACAAAACACAAACAACAAAAAAATACAAAAACTGGACACCATCAAAATTAAAACCTTTTATACCTCAAAGGGCACTATCAAGAAAGTGAAAAAATAACTCAGAGTTGTAGAAAACTTGTAAATCATATATCTGATGAGTGATTTATAACTAGAGTAAAAGAAGAACTATCATGATTCAATGATAAAAAATTAAATAACAAAATATATAAATGGAAAAAGGGTCTGAGTAGTTATTTCTCCAAAGAAGATATGTGGGTGGCCCATCAGCAAATGATAAGATGCTCAGCATTACTGGCAACTAAAGGATGCAAATCAAAATGAAGTGATACCACTTCATACCCAGTAGCATAGTTATAGCTATATAAGTGTTAGAGAAGATCTGGAGAACTTAGAGCAGAGCTGATGGGAATGTAATGGTGCAACTGCTTTGGGAAGTACTCAAACAGTTAAACATAGAGTTATCTAAGAGAAATAAAAACAGATTTCCACATCGAAACTTGTACATAAATGTTCAGAACAGTGTAATAGCCAAAAATGTGAAACAACCCAAATATTCACCTACTGGATGATAAATAAAATGATCTATCCATATATTAGAATATTATTGTACAATAAAAAGAAATACTAACACAGGTACAACATAGATGACTTTAAAAGCATTATGATAATTCAGAGAGACCAGTCACCAAGAATCATGTATTATATAGTTCAAAATAGGCAAATCTGCAGAGACAAAAAATGGGTTAGTAA